GGATGACTGAAAAGACTGTGTGACGAGGGTGACTAGGGAGACTCAAGTGACTAAGTACACAATGTTGAATATGGCGACTTGCGTGACTTGGGTGTCAAAGGTGACTAGGGTGACTTGGGTGACAAGGGTGACTAGGGTGACTAGGGTGACAAGGGTGACTAGGGTGACCAGGGTGACTTGGGTGACAAGGGTGAGTTGGGTGACTAAGGTGAGTTGGGCGACTAGGGTGACTTAGGTGCCTTGGGTGCCTTGGGTGACTAGGGTGACTTGGGTGTCAAAGGAGACTAGGGTGACTAGGCCGACTTGGGTGACAAGAGTGACTAGGGTGACAAGGGCGACTAGGGTGACTTGGGTGACTTAGGTGACTTGGGTGACTAGGGTGACTTGGGTGACTAGGGCGACTAGGATGACTTGGGTTACAAGGACGACTAGGGTGACTTGGGTGCCTTGGGTGACTAGGGTGACAAGGGTGACTATGGTGACCAGGGTGACTAGGGTGACTTACGTGCCTTGGGTGCCTTGGGTGACTAGGGTGAGTTGGGTGACTAGGGTGACTTGGGTGATTAGGGTTACTTGGACGACTTGGGTGACTGGCGTGACAAGAGTGAATTGGGTGACTACGGTGACTAGGGTGACTTGGGTGTCAAAGGTGACTAGGATGACTAGGCTGACTAGGGTGACTTGGGTGATTAGGACTACTTGGGTGACTTGGATGAATACCGTAACTAGAGTGAATTGGGTGATTACTGTGACTTGGGTGACTAGGGTGACTTGGGTGTCAAGGGTGACTAGGGTTACTAGGGTGACAAGGGTGACTTGGGTGAATAGGGTTACCTGGGTGACTTGGGTGACTGGTGTGACAAGAGTGAATTGGGTGACTTAGGTGACTACGATGACTTGGGTGACTAGGGTGACTCCAGCGACTTGCACGACAAAAATGCTTGAGAAAAAATGTTTCTCCCTCCTTGTAAATGACAATGACCAGGGGCAGTCAGGGGGGGTCTCGAGAAAAACTGATAAAATCTTTATTGAGAGGAAGGATGATATTTTTCTATCATGTAAACAAAATTTTTACTGTTTGTCTGCTTTCTGTAATATTTACCTAACAAAACTGTAACTTTCAAGGAGAAATTGTCCCAAAAAATGCAATTTTTGGCCCAAACTTCCGCCCTCCCTTGATGCCTAGTACAGGTTTTTGTTAGAAGACAAACAAATGCAACAATGAGTAGTTTCATCTGAAGCACTAACTACACACAAAGTATGAGGGAAGATATTGTTTGACTATTTCCAATTTTTGCTCAATCCATTGCAACATTCGTTCTTAAGAAACGTTCAAGCTCACATTCCCACCAATCTGGGGAGAAAAAATGTGCAGTTTCAAAAATGACTGGATCCATTTGGATGGGGCCTTAATTAACGAAAAGCAACTGACGGGCTTCAGTCCATGAACTGCCTAAAAGTGTGACAAAGAATTTTACAACTGATATTGTTTCGTCAGTAATAACGCTTTACGGCTTACAGTGTAATTTAATAGCTTCATTTGCGTAGAGATCATAGTATGGCAGTAATGTGTCCACAGTCACTCAAATTTCGAAGCCAGACAGACCTCCTCCAATAATAATAAATTATTATTAAAATATCATTAACAATAAAGTACTTACAGGTATCTTGTACCTGAAGAGTTTCCACAGCCGAGATTTGTCCGCCATGCTTAGCAAGGAAAACTTCAAGTTCTCCCATCTTTTTACACGGAATGATGATTTTTACCTTAAAAAAATACTCTGTGAGTTTCAAACCTGAAATATTGGACTGGCAATACTTGTTATGAGCCATCAACAACAAAAACCGACAATCCAGTTACTAATACAGTTGAATGTACCTTAAGGCCGATTTAGATGGTATGATTTTTGCTTTATACGACTATCGTGAGCAACTAGCATGCATCATGACTTCACAACAGATGATGTCATGTAAATTGAACCCACGACATTCGTATTCGTACGACACATTGTAGATGTTGAAATGAAAATTGTACGTCTGTGGATGGAGGGTCCACAATAGGTTTGGCGGAATGCGGGATTTGGCTATTTTTTGTGATGAAAAAGGATTGAAAAAGGAGCGAAAAGCGGGAATTTTGGTAATGAGCGGGAGCGGGATTTCCCATTTTTATTGGGTTGGGATGCGGGAAACGTAAGGGAAAGGTAGCGGGATATGGGAATTAAGTTTTGTTGTGACTACATTTTGACTCTTTTGTGTTCAACGCCTTTGTACAAGTCGCCAAGGAAATGAATCCAGCCAAATTTATCCATTATCACCTTTTAGTGTTTTTGTCTGATTGCGGTACTTGGTAAAGACGGCGTGCGCGAACGTTCAAAGAAGAGGTCTGGAGTGAGGCCAAGAAACTAGTTAAAGAGGCGAAAAATGCGCGGTTAATTTTATACAGTCTTCGCCCGTACTTGGCACCTTTCAAAACCGATTGTGAAAAAAAAGGACTGTTTTGCAAACTATTTCAGGTCACTTACACCTATGTTTGTGCGGATTTAAGAATGGAAGAAAATAAAATAAATTTTAAACAACAATCGAGGACCAAGTCTAAGAAGGGTGGAAAAGTAAACTTTCTACATGGGGGTTGTTTGCATTCGGTTGTGCTGTTCGATTTCATACCAGGTTTATGTTGCCATATAAAAGACAACATTCTATCAATCTGTGCAACCATTGTGTTGATACACATTTTCCATGACCCGTAGTCAGTGTAGACAATTGGCTTCATCGCCTAATGGAATCTAACAGTAAGGAAATCGAAACATCTATATACCCCAACTCAACTGGCTGTTTCAAGATGGCCAGAACTCAGATCGAAGTAAACCTTCTATTTTGTACTGATGTGCTCAGAAAATAAATAAATAAATAAACAAAATAAATAAATAAGCAAAACAGAAGATAAAGCTACGGTCGCTAATGGCTACGTCAAGAACTTTAAACATCAAAGCTCCCTGTTGCAAGAAGGTTAGTCTTAAACATTGTATAATGAAAGCAAGAAATTCGAAGGAAAAAATAAGGCGGGATCGAGATTCTGAAATAAAAAAGGTAGGATAGCAGGATTGAGAGGGAAATACAAACGGGAAGGCAGCATTTGAGAACCCTGCTGTGGACCCTCTGGATGGTCGAAAACATATGCTAGTCTCGCACAAAAGTCATAAGCAAAAATTGTACCTTCTAAATCGGCCTTAAGATGAACACCTTTGGGGCCGGCACTATGTGTCTATCTTAGAGACACGTCCGTCTTACAGATAGGATGACTCTAGGTGTCCATTTTAGTAAGGTGTCCATCTTATAGCGGTATCCGTTGAGAGAGTTGACTGTAAATACACAAATTAATGTCACCTTCATAGCCGAGTTATCTTCTGTTGCTTCCATATCTTAAGGATGATATTTCATGAATGGACTTCACTTGGGAATGTGGTTTACCATGCGACAAAGGCGTACATTGTAAAACATGTGGCTCTTCTTGAAGCTCTATTTCAGTGGAGGTCTTGCTGCTACCCAGACATGACTGATCATTCCATTTGAGCATGTAAAGTTGTCAGTCCATGAGCTTTGAAACCCAATCTGTGGAGGATAAACCCAGAACAAAATGTGTAAACATAGGCACGTTAAACGTGCTTGAGCTGTTTTGAATGCTTCAGTGTAAGCTTACCAAGAGTGATGAATCTACCTTTTTCGTCTTAAATGTAGACTCGGTTTTTGTGCGAAATTGGGTATTGCCGTACGTAAATGAAAACACGAAACGCTCAGCTGCATTGATCCTTACGGTATATATTCACTTTCCTCTGTCTTTCCCTGTTACATTTGGTGCAAGATAAACAAATCGTTAAAGTAAAATAAATATCTACTCACCAAACGTTGATTAGAAGGAAAACTCTACGGTTTCCTCGGAGTTTCTTAAGCCAAAATGTGACTCATCGAATTCGAGTGGTTAAGAAATACCAGGATTTTTATCATTGTGGTAGATGGTTGCCTCATCACAATTCACGAGGTTTTCACGTGCGATTCTACTCAGTGAAACAGTCTTTAACTCCGACAACTTATTTCTTCATGTTTTAAAAGCTATTGCTTCTTAAAAGACAACAGCCTTTTTTAAGGCATTGGTTACAAAACGAAATAGGTCTTCATACGTTCAAGTTGCTATTATTATTGTGAAAAGCCAATCTGCATGAGATGTACAGTCCCTCAACTGGTACGTGAAAGTGTTGGACTTTGCCCCTTTCGTTGTTCGTACGTGACGGAATTCGAGTTATCACACAGTAATCTAGTAAACAGACTTATAAAACTAACTCATGCACACAATTTGCACGTGAAGATGCTCGTCTTTGGACATTTTACAATTCGTACGCAAAACAAAGCCAAATTGTTTACTACAAAATTTTCTCAAACGATTTTAAGAAATCACCTCGGCTTCATTTCAACATCTGCAATTAAATTATGTTTCATGCAACGTCAAGGTTGATAGCCTAACATTTATTAACTTCCAAGAAAATTATCAAACTGCCGAAATATGTTTCTGCTCATATCATGTTACTCCACTCAGTAAAACAGAATCTAATTATTGTGTCAACTAGCTTCTTCCAATTCTATTCCCTAACGCTACTGTTTCTACTTACGTTACGCATCTTTACTAAATAAAATATATTTCAATAACTATAATGCTTAGTATGCAGGAAGGATGTATCATGTTGTTCACTTATTCTTTATTTTTTGTTTTGCAGGAACGAAAAAGGTCTGTTGAACTTTGTAAGCGAGAGAATAATATTTTTAAAGCTTGTTTACAGGATTAACAATACTCGTTACAGCTTTCAAAAAAAATAAGCTGCCTTTCAAACTTGTAAAACCACATTTTATAGGCCGCGTACTTTCGAATTAAAGTCCATAACTAAATATCAATTATAATTGCTTCACTGGAAGAGCTTTGAAAATATACGATCTTTTATACTCTACCTTGAAGCAGGTGAAACACAGCTCATAAATACGTGCGTCAGTACTGTTAGCGATAGCCGAATTCGGTCAGAAATTTCTTGAAGTAGCATCCAAACTAAAATGAACCCTTAAACAGCTGCATCACTGTACACAGCGTTTGAATCATGAAGATATTTAATACAATGTTTCCAAACACCTGTAGCCGTAATAAAAAGACGAAAAAAATGTCAAGAATCAAGATGGCGGTCTCAAAATTGCCCTTGTTCGAACTTTAGCAATGTCATGTTTAAGTAGATGCCAAGATCTCATTGGTTCCTAAGTATCAACTCATAGTACCTTCAACCTTATTGGCTCTTGCAACAAACATCCGAACATACAAAGATACAAAGATGAATACGCTCACACCACTGACATATGAGCCATTTTTTCAGCTCAAAAATAAGTCAATAGCTCAAAAAGGGAAAGAGTGAAGACATGGATAATTACATGCCCATTTCAATTTTACCGACAGTCTCTAAACTGCTGGAGAGGGTTGTTCTTGTGCAACTATGTGATTATTTATGAGAACATAACATTTTGAGCCCATACCAGTGTGCTTTCAGGAAACAGCATTCTACGGAATTTGCGGTATTATCTTTAGCTGATACAAGAAGACGTAACGTTGATCAAGGTCAAATGACTGGAGCTGTTCTTATAGACTTCCGCAAGGCCTTTGACAGTGTGAACCATTCCCTGCTATTAAAGACGCTTTATGCCCTGGCTATCGTAGATCAAGAATACGAGTGGTTTACTGACTATCTGAAAGGTAGACCTCAAGTTGTCGGGTTCCAGGGAGCTTTCTCAGACGCTGAATCTATTTGTGTCGGTGTGCCCCAAGGATCGATCCTCGGATCTCTGTTATTTCTGCTCCATGTGAACGATTTACCCACCGTTGCCCGCAAGTTTAGTATGCTAATGTATGCTGATGACACTGTCTTATTCTATTTTGGAAAGGTCGCTGCTACAATCGAGAAAAGTCTCAATGAAGATCTTGATCTAATTGGATCGTGGCTCTATAAAAACAGCCTTTTCTTAAACGCGGTTAAGACTGAAGCTATGTTGCTCGGAACTCACGCTAGGCTTTCTGACGCAGATTTTGGTATAACGTTTAAGGGCCAACCTATTAAGCGTGTTTTTGAATTCAAGTATTTAGGAGTTATATTTGACGAACATATTTCTTGGAATTCTCACGTGAAGTATGTATTATCCTGATATGGTAAACGACTGAGGATGCTAGAACGCATTAGGGACAATCTTACATCAGACTGTGCCAATTCCATTTACACAGCTTATATTCGTCGTATCATGGATTATTGTGACACCATGTGGAAAAGCTGCAAAGTTGGCAACAGTTCGTCACTAGAGAGGCTTCAAAGACGTGCCGCTAAAATTGTTCCAAAAACGGGCGAAAGTGACAGAGCTTTGGATTATCGTAAGTGGCCATCTCTCATAAATAGAGCAGAGAGCCATGTTAATGAACTCGTCAAAAGATGCATTAAAGGACAACGCCCTCAATTTTTTAAAAACTATTTTACTTGTAACAGTTCTGTCCACAATCGAATTACGACAAAACTGAACATGTCACACCTGCTACGATTTAGAACTGACCTAGCTAAATACTCTTTTTATTACCATAGTTCTGTAATTTTAAATACGCTCAATTTTTAATGTTTTAAGATTTTATTCCTGTTTACTGTAACTGTATATCGTACTTTTTCTAAGATTAACTTTTAGTTTAATGTATTAATTTTTAAGAATATTTTAGTATAATTGTACAGTTTTTATTAGTTTTATCATTTTACTTTTTATCAGGACCTCAATTAATAGCAGTGCTTAAAGCGTCTGAATAGCATGGGCTACCCTTATATGAATAAATAAGAACCTCTCTTTCTATTCATCCCTAGTCATAACTTGTCATCCTAGTCATCCCTAGTCATCCCAGTCATACCTAGTCATCCCAGTCATCCCTAGTCACCAAAGTCATCGCTAGTCATCCCAGTCATCCCTAGTCATCAAAGTCATCCCTAGTCATACTAGTCATCCCTAGTCATTCCAGTCATCTCTAGTCATCCCTAGTCATCCCTTGTCATCCCAGTCAACCCTAATCATTCCAGTCATCCCTAGTCATCACTAATCATCCCAGTTCTCCCTACTCATCCCTAGTCATCCCTACTCATCCTTAGTCATTCAAGTAAACCCAAGACATCCCACTAATCCCTAGTCATCAATACTTATCTGTAGTCATCCCAGTCATATCTTGTAATCCCTAGTCATCCCAGTCATCCTAGTAATCCCTAGTAATTCCAGTCATCCCTAGTCATCCCAGTCATCCCTAGCCATCCTAGTAATCCCTAGTCGTCCCAGTCCTTCCTAGTCATCCCCAGGCATCCCACGTCGTCCTAATCATCAATAGTCATCCCAGTAATCGCAAGTCTTCCCAGTAATCCCTAGTCATGACTAGTCATCCCAGTCATCCTAGTCATTCCTAGTCATCCCAGTCATCCCTAGTGATTCCTAGTCATCCCAGTCATCCTAGTCATCCCTAAAAATTCCAGCCATCCCTAATCATCCCAGTCATCCCTACTAATTCTAATCATCTCTTCCCATCCCAGTCAGCCCTAGTCATTCCTAGTCATCACAGGCATCCTAGTAATCCCTAGTCATTCCAGTCATCCCTAGAAATCCCTAGTCATCCCTAGTCATACTAGTCATCCCTAGTCATCCCCGTCATCCCAATCATTCCAGTCATCCCTAGTCATCCCAGAGATCCCTAGTCATTCCAGTCATCCTTAGTTATCAAAGTCAACACTAGTCATCCCTAGACATCCCTAGTCATCCCTAGTCATTCCAGTCATCCCAGTAATCCCTAGTCATCCCAGTTATCCTATTTATCCCTGGTCATCCCTAGTAATCCCAGTCATCCTAGTCATCCCAAGTCATCCCAATAATCCTTAGTCTTCCTAGTCATCTTTAGTCATTCCTAATCATCCCAGTCATCCTAGTAATCCCACTCATCCCCAGTCATCCCTAGTCATCCCAGTCATCCTAGTCATCCCAGTCATCCTTAGTCAACCCAGTCATCCTTAGTTACCAAAGTCATCCCTAGTCATCCCAAGTCATCCGAGTCATCCCTAGTCATCCCAGTCATATCAGTAATCCCTAGTAATCCCAGTCATCCCTAGTCATCCAGAGTAATCCCAGTCATCCCTACTCATTCCTAGTCATCCCTAGTCTTCTCTAATCATCCCAGTCATCCTAGTCATCTCTAGTCATTCCAGTCATCCCTAGTCATCCCAGTCATTGCAGTCATCCCTAGTGATCCCTAGTAATCCTTTCCCATCCCTAGTAATCGCTAGCCATCCCAGACATCCCTAGTCATGGCTAATCATCCCATTCATCCCTAGTCATCCGAGTAATCCCTAGTCACCCCTAGTCATCCCAAGTCATCCCTAGTCATCCCCACTCATCCCTAGTCATCCCAGTCATCCTTACTGATTCCTAGTCATCCCAGTCATCCTAGTCATCTCTAAAAATTCCAGTCATCCCTAATCATCCCAGTCATCTCTACTCATCCTAGTCATCTCTTGCCATCCCAACCATCCCTAGTCATTCCTAGTCATCACAGTCATCCTAGTAATCCCTAGTCATTCCAGGCATCCCTAGTCATCTCAGTAATCCCTAGTCATCCCTAGTCATCCCAGTCATCCCAGTCATTCCAGTAATCCCTAGTCATCCAAGACATCCCTAGTCATTCCAGTCATCCTTAGTCATCCCAGTCAACACTAGTCATCCCTTGTCATCCCTAGTCACCCCAGTCATCCCCAGTCATCCAGAGTAATCCCAGTCATCCCTACTCATTCCTAGTCATCCTTAGTCTTCCCTAATCATCCCAGTCATCCTAAACATCTCTAGTCATTCCAGTCACCCCTAGTCATCCCAGTCATTGCAGTCGTGCCTAGTCATCCCTAGTAATCCTTAAACACCCCTAGTCATCGCTAGCCATATTAGACATCCCTAGTCATGGCTAGTCATCCAATTCATCCCTAGTCATCCGAGTAATCAATAGTCAGACCTAGTCATCCCAAGTCATCCCTAGTCATCCCCACTCATCCCTAGTCATCCCAGTCATCCTAGTCATCACTAGTCATCTCAGTCATCCCTAGTGATTCCTAGTCATCCCAATCATTCTAGTCATCCCTAAAAATTCCAGTCATCATTAATCATCCTAGTCATCTCTTGCCATCCCAAACATCCCAAGTCATTCCTACTCATCACAGTCATCCTAGTAATCCCTAGTCATTCCAGGCATCCCTAGTCATCCCAGTCATCCCTAGTCATCCCTTGTCATCCTAGTCATCCCGGTCATCACTAGTCATTCAAGTCATCCCAGTAATCCCTAGTCATCCCAGTTATCCTATTTATCCCTGGTCATCCCTAGTCATCCCAGTCATCCTAGTCATCCCAAGTCATCCCAGTAATCCCTAGTTTTCCTAGTCAACTTTAGTCATTCGTAATCATCCCAGTCATCCTAGTCATCTCTACTCATCCTAGTCATCTCTTGCCATCCCAAACATCCCTAGTCATTCCTAGTCATCACGGTCATCCTAGTAATCCCTAGTCATTCCAGGCATCCCTAGTCATCCCTAGTCATCCTAGTCATCCCAGTCATCCCCGTCATTCCAGTAATCCCTAGTCATTTAACACATTCCTAGTCATTCCGGCTTTTACTTCGGGTAGAAGAGCACAGAACGCGTCATCAGAATGGAATGGGCAAAAGTGAAACATTATCGTTAATTTATGACAAATGTATGCAACCGGGTAGTCTTAATAGAGACAAACTTATGCATTGACATGAACGCACTACAATGTCTTGTCACGGTAGAATCGAGTACTTTTAGTTGCTAACTTTGGAAGTGTGGAAATGTGGAAATGTGGAAATGTGGAAGTATGTCCTCATTGTCTTAAGTTATCTAATAACTCTGGAAGTGTGGAAGTGTGGAAATGTGGAAATGTGGAAATATGTCTTCATTGTTTTTGTCTAATAACTCTGGAAGTGTGGAAATGTGGAAATGTTGAAATGTGGAAATATGTCTTCCTTAATTGTCTTTGTCTAATAACTCTGGAAGTGTGGAAATGTGGAAATGTGGAAATATGTCTTCCTTAATTGTCTTTGTCTAATAACTCTGGAAGTGTGGAAATGTGGAAATGTGGAAATATGTCTTCCTTGTCTTAATTTATCTTAACTCTGGAAGTGTGGAAGTGTGGAAATGTGGAAATGTGGAAATGTGGAAATATGTCTTCCTTGTCTTAATTTATCTTAACTCTGGAAGTGTGGAAGTGTGGAAATGTGGAAATGTGGAAATGTGGAAATATGTCTTCATTGTCTTAATTCATCTAATAACTCTGGAAGTGTGGAAGTGTGGAAATGTGTAAATGTGGAAATATGTCTTCATTGTTTTTGTCTAATAACTCTGGAAGTGTGGAAATATGGAAATGTGGAAATGTGGAAATATGTCTTCCTTAATTGTCTTTGTCTAATAACTCTGGAAGTGTGGAAATGTGGAAATGTGGAAATATGTCTTCCTTGTCTTAATTTATCTTAACTCTGGAAGTGTGGAAGTGTGGAAATGTGGAAATGTGGAAATGTGGAAATATGTCTTCATTGTCTTAATTCATTTAATAACTCTGGAAGTGTGGAAGTGTGGAAATGTGGAAATGTGGAAATGTGGAAATGTGGAAATATGTCCTCCTTGTCTTTGTCTAATAACTCTGGAAGTGTGGAAATGTGGAAATGTGGAAATGTGGAAATATGTCTTCAATGTCTTTATCTAATAACTCTGGCCGGAAGTGTGGAAATGTGGAAATGTGGAAATATGTCTTCAATGTCTTTATCTAATAACTCTGGAAGTGTGGAAATGTGGAAATGTGGAAATATGTCTTCCTTAATTGTCTTTGTCTAATAACTCTGGAAGTGTGGAAATGTGGAAATGTGGAAATATGTCTTCCTTGTCTTAATTTATCTTAACTCTGGAAGTGTGGAAGTGTGGAAATGTGGAAATGTGGAAATATGTCTTCATTGTCTTAATTCATCTAATAACTCTGGAAGTGTGGAAGTGTGGAAATGTGGAAATGTGGAAATGTGGAAATATGTCCTCCTTGTCTTTGTCTAATAACTCTGGAAGTGTGGAAATGTGGAAATGTGGAAATGTGGAAATATGTCTTCAATGTCTTTATCTAATAACTCGGGCCGGAAGTGTGGAAATGTGGAAATGTGGAAATATGTCTTCAATGTCTTTATCTAATAACTCTGAAGTGTGGAAATGTTGAAATGTGCCTCCATTGTCTTTATCTATTAACACCGGAAGTGTGGACGTGTGGAGAAATGTGTCTTCATCACTGACTCTGGAAGTGTGGAAACCTGGAAATGTGTCTTGTTTGTTTTAATCTAATAACTCTGAAAGTGTGAAAATCTGGAAAGGCGTCTGGGATGATTTTGGAATTAAAAATAGGACTCGCGTGCGGCGAAATTACTTGCGTTACTTCCGGTTACCGTCAATCGCAAGACAGTCACATTGCTAGTTTCAGCTCACCGCCCGGCCGCATATTTTTCTAGTTGTTTGTTCGGGAGGAAAATGGACGCCCCTGACTGTTGCGGGTTTGGCTTTTAAGAAATCCGATTGGCGACCAAGTAAGCACGAGGATGTGCTTCACTAAGGATTTTGAAGCTCTTTCCACTATCAATTTTTAAATAAAGGCATAAAAAAGCGCAATCGTAGTTTGCTCTGACAAACGTACTGATGCAACTGAACCGATGAAATGCATCTCAGTTCCTGTTCGGCTTTTTGCCATCAACTGCCCTGTAATGTATATCTTTTTCGGGACTTCATGTTCGAATTTATGTTTGTGTGTTTAGTGATGGAGGCCTCCTCTTAAAATATGTATTTTACTATTATTTTTATTATTATTGTTGTTGTTACAAATCCCTGATATTAATCAATGTGTGTAATAATGCCATGATAAGGTGGCCCTGAGGTCACGCAGAGGTTTAAGAATCATTATTTACAAGTCTTGTCATTACTTTAATTTCATAGACATCTCGAAATACCTCAGGCCATGGGGGCCATAGGTTTTTATAACCATAAAAATCCAACAGTGTCAGTAATTGATTGTCCGTTAAATTGCTATATAAAACCGTTTTCGGAAAACAGGCGACAATTTAAAACTCTGTCATTACTACAAACACAATTTGTCATTCGGGGGAATTTATTTCCAAATTAACAATGAAATATCAGAATGCTAAAACAACAACATTTTCAAACCCCATGCTGCGAGTAGAGGTTCAATTGATTTTTTAATTCTATCCTTGTCATGATCTCCTTGCAAATTAAAGGGAATTGAAACTTTATACAATCGATGTTGTATACAGTAATGCTTTATAAACACTATTTCCTTATTTCTTCTAGTACAAGTTGGGAAAATTAAATTCAAAAGCCATTAAAACCCAAACTAGTAAGGGACCCAACTCTTCGTAAATAACATTTTAAGAGTCCTATTTCCTTTCACAAATCTCGCCTGCTGTCAAAAAGCTTCCCTGCTTCCCTCCATTGCCCTCGCATGTAGGTCTCAATCTGAGCCAACGAAAATACATGACTACTGTAGAACTTGTCAAAGTGTGATTTAGCATGCCCTCTTTGTGTGAACGCGCTCACTCGCCTAGTGTTATTATCAGCGTGACATGTTAAATGAAACTTGATTCATGTACAACTCCCTAAACAAAGTTGTCTGTTGAATTAAATGTTTCAGTTTGCCCTCTATTTGTTTGATAGTTTTCCCATTTACTGGGATTGGTAGAGAGCTGGAATTGATTATGTTGCATATAGAATTAAATGTCTTCATTAAATATGAAACATCGGTGGACAAGACATCTCCATCTGGCTTTCTTGTAATTTCATTAATTACACTCTCAAATAAAAGCGTTTCCAGTTCAGACCATGACGTTTTCGATATATTAACATTCCTTTCTTTAATTAACTGCTTACTGCTTACACTGTTTTCTTGAACAAAATGTTCATCTCGGTTCCTTTGTCTTCCTTTCAAGTCTTTGTTTTCAGAATTGTCCTGCTTTCCATACCGATTGGCGCAGTTAAAACATGTGCAATTATTGCAGCCTTGCTGGGCGAGAAAACAAGGGCAAGACACTCTGCGTTCCCCTGCTATCTGGACACAAAATGATTTAATTGCTCCATCAGCAGTTCTCTTATGTGCAGCACCTTTTCCACATCTGCATCCGCCCACCTTGGATGGTGCGTCTTGCACTTCTTTGGGATTTGGATCATCTGATGAGGCTGCAGTTATTGTTTCATTAAAAATCACTGCATCGTAGTGACCTGGTCCAGCATGATTGTAAGCAAGGTATATGGGAGCTGCCGTAATAGGTCTTGTCCTTGGAGAAACAGGTATAACTGGAAAATGTTCCATTGATGTAAACACCACAAAAGACATTTTTAAAACATTAGCTAGTCCCAGCAACATCATGTTCCCTAGCTGACCGGTGAAGATACCTGCATTTCTGTAATCAGGTGCCATGTCCTCAAGTTCAGTGTCCACAAGGAACTTCTCATATTCTTCTTTGTTACTAAGCCACTCATCAACCAGTTTCCCTCTCAGGAGTAGAACTTTGTCCAACGTGGTACCACATAGCTTCAGTATCTCGATAAAAGCTGAGAGATCATTACTGTCTGATAGAGGCCCCATCTGATCAAGCTGAAAAATAACTGATGTGAACAAGCAGTCACCATCTTTTGGGACTGGTACAATTTGAAACCCTAGACCGGATACGAAAGGGTCCAGTTTGTTGATATTGCCATCCAAGTTATCTCTTTTGCAATTCAGTGTATCAAATGCAAACAGAGTCTGCTGGTGCATTAGGTTCACAAAACGCGGATTAAGTACGGAAAGTAGTCCTCCTTTTTTAAGAGCCTGGTACTGATTATAGAGAATAAGGGTCTGGTCAATGATGGAATGAAGCTCTTCTTTAGTCAAGTTATTTTGGTCAATTGACTCTCCTTCATTTCCTGCAACATCAGAGAAATTCAAGCCAGTTTCCTCTTCATCACAGAGATGCTGTTGGCACTCTTCCAAGAATACGCTAGGTATGCCCTGTTCCGATTCTGTACTTTGTGGAATACCGAATGATTCAGCCTGAGGACTGTCTGATGGTTCACCCAGTATCAGACATTCTATGGGAGAGACTACCACACTACTACCATGTTGACGTTTCTCATTCCACACATAAAAATAAGTGGTGAATAAGGCTAAAGCGAGTGGGACAGAAAGTCTGTTACGAAAGACAACGTTTCTTAGCCATTTATGTAGGTTTTCGTTTCTTTCTGAACCACAACCTGGTGGGATTTCTGATAAGCACCCCTTTGTTATATGGTTTTGTAGCTTTCTTAATTCATCAAGTGCTTTAATGTTTCTTATTGGTCTTTCTTCATATGCTATACTTTTCCATTTTTGCTGAAAAGTATCCATATTGCCAAGAATGATGCTAGCCACCGGTGTTGTTTTCTTTCTGATTGGTCCGTAATCATCGATGCTCCTCAGAACTAGTGTGAAATCCCTAGAACATGCACCATGAAAAGGGTGTCTTTTAGGCATCTCGGTAACCACCCTTGACACGGCATGAAAGAGGTCCAGCTTAACACTGCAATTGGATGTAAAAATACCTTGGAGTTTTTTCCTCCAAGCACAACAATTGTCAATATAACAACTTCGAACGATCTGTTTCTTTTTGTCACAACGTTTCTTAATTCCTTGTAAGAGTTTCCTAACACTTTCAAATGAAGTTCCTTTAGTAAACTGCCACCCCATTACCTGTCCCTTTTCATTCATGACACAAAATAATGAGTCATACAGGGTTTCCCATTTACTATCTGATTTCCTCTTCAAACCAATGTTACAGGCCACTTTGAACGTGTGATCCATTGATATATGCAACATAATCAATTCCAGCTCTCTACCAATCCCAGTAAATGGGAAAACTATCAAACAAATAGAGGGCAAACTGAAACATTTAATTCAACAGACAACTTTGTTTAGGGAGTTGTACATGAATCAAGTTTCATTTAACATGTCACGCTGATAATAACACTAGGCGAGTGAGCGCGTTCACACAAAGAGGGCATGCTAAATCACACTTTGACAAGTTCTACAGTAGTCATGTATTTTCGTTGGCTCAGATTGAGACCTACATGCGAGGGCAATGGAGGGAAGCAGGGAAGCTTTTTGACAGCAGGCGAGATTTGTGAAAGGAAATAGGACTCTTAAAATGTTATTTACGAAGAGTTGGGTCCCTTACTAGTTTGGGTTTTAATGGCTTTTGAATTTAATTTTCCCAACTTGTACTAGAAGAAATAAGGAAATAGTGTTTATAAAGCATTACTGTATACAACATCGATTGTATAAAGTTTCAATTCCCTTTAATTTGCAAGGAGATCATGACAAGGATAGAATTAAAAAATCAATTGAACCTCTACTCGCAGCATGGGGTTTGAAAATGTTGTTGTTTTAGCATTCTGATATTTCATTGTTAATTTGGAAATAAATTCCCCCGAATGACAAATTGTGTTTGTAGTAATGACAGAGTTTTAAATTGTCGCCTGTTTTCCGAAAACGGTTTTATATAGCAATTTAACGGACAATCAATTACTGACACTGTTGGATTTTTATGGTTATAAAACCTATGGCCCCCCATGGCCTGAGGTATTTCGAGATGTCTATGAAATTAAAGTAATGACAAGACTTGTAAATAATGATTCTTAAACCTCTGCGTGACCTCAGGGCCACCTTATCATGGCATTATTACACACATTGATTAATATCAGGGATTTGTAACAACAACAATAATAATAAAAATAATAGTAAAATACATATTTTAAGAGGAGGCCTCCATCACTAAACACACAAACATAAATTCGAACATGAAGTCCCGAAAAGATATACATTACAGGGCAGTTGATGGCAAAAAGCCGAACAGGAACTGAGATGCATTTCATCGGTTCAGTTGCATCAGTACGTTTGTCAGAGCAAACTACGATTGCGCTTTTTATGCCTTTATTTAAAAATTGATAGTGGAAAGAGCTTCAAAATCCTTAGTGAAGCACATCCTCGTGCTTACTTGGTCGCCAATCGGATTTCTTAAAAGCCAAACCCGCAACAGTCAGGGGCGTCCATTTTCCTCCCGAACAAACAACTAGAAAAATATGCGGCCGGGCGGTGAGCTGAAACTAGCAATGTGACTGTCTTGCGATTGACGGTAACCGGAAGTAACGCAAGTAATTTCGCCGCACGCGAGTCCTATTTTTAATTCCAAAATCATCCCAGACGCCTTTCCAGATTTTCACACTTTCAGAGTTATTAGATTAAAACAAACAAGACACATTTCCAGGTTTCCACACTTCCAGAGTTAGTGATGAAGACACATTTCTCCACACGTCCACACTTCCGGTGTTAATAGATAAAGACAATGGAGGCACATTTCAACATTTCCACACTTCAGAGTTATTAGATAAAGACATTGAAGACATATTTCCACATTTACACATTTCCACACTTCCGGCCAGAGTTATTAGATAAAGACATTGAAGACATATTTCCACATTTCCACATTTCCACACTTCCAGAGTTATTAGACAAAGACAAGGAGGACATATTTCCACATTTCCACATTTCCACATTTCCACACTTCCACACTTCCAGAGTTAAGATAAATTAAGACAAGGAAGACATATTTCCACATTTCCACATTTCCACATTTCCACACTTCCACACTTCCAGAGTTAAGATAAATTAAGACAAGGAAGACATATTTCCACATTTCCACATTTCCACACTCAAAGACAATTAAGGAAGACATATTTCCACATTTCCACATTTCCACACTTCCAGAGTTATTAGACAAAGACAATTAAGGAAAACATATTTCCACATTTCAACATTTCCACATTTCCACACTTCCAGAGTTATTAGACAAAAACAATGAAGACATATTTCCACATTTCCACATTTCCACACTTCCAGAGTTATTAGACAAAGACAATTAAGGAAGACATATTTCCACATTTCCACATTTCCACACTTCCAGAGTTATTAGACAAAGACAATTAAGGAAGACATATTTCCACATTTCCACATTTCCACACTTCCAGAGTTATTAGACAAAAACAATGAAGACATATTTCCACATTTCCACATTTCCACATTTCCAGACTTAAGATAAATTAAGACAAGGAAGACATATTTCCACATTTCCACATTTCCACACTTCCAGAGTTATTACACAAAGACAATTAAGGAAGACATATTTCCACATTTCCACATTTCCACACTTCCAGAGTTATTAGACAAAGACAATTAAGGAAGACATATTTCCACATTTCCACATTTCCACACTTCCAGAGTTATTAGACAAAAACAATGAAGACATATTTCCACATTTCCACATTTCCACATTTCCACACTTCCACACTTCCAGAGTTATTAGATGAATTAAGACAATGAAGACATATTTCCACATTTCCACATTTCCACATTTCCACACTTCCACACTTCCAGAGTTAAGATAAATTAAGACAAGGAAGACATATTTCCACATTTCCACATTTCCACACTTCCAGAGTTATTAGACAAAGACAATTAACGAAGACATATTTCCACATTTCCACATTTCCACACTTCCAGAGTTATTAGACAAAGACAATTAAGGAAGACATATTTCCACATTTCCACATTTCCACACTTCCAGAGTTATTAGACAAAAACAATGAAGACATATTTCCACATTTCCACACTTCCACACTTCCAGAGTTATTAGATGAATTAAGACAATGAAGACATATTTCCACATTTCCACATTTCCACATTTCCACACTTCCACACTTCCAGAGTTAAGATAAAGTAAGACAAGGAAGACATATTTCCACATTTCCACATTTCCACACTTCCAGAGTTATTAGACAAAGACAATTAAGAAAAACATATTTCCACATTTCCACACTTCCAGAGTTATTAGACAAAGACAATTAAGGAAGACATATTTCCACATTTCAACATTTCCACATTTCCACACTTCCAGAGTTATTAGACAAAAACAATGAAGACATATTTCCACATTTCCACATTTCCACATTTCCACACTTCCACACTTCCAGAGTTATTAGATGAATTAAGACAATGAAGACATATTTCACATTTCCACATTTCCACATTTCCACACTTCCACACTTCCAGAGTTAAGATAAATTAAGACAAGGAAGACATATTTCCACATTTCCACATTTCCACACTTCCAGAGTTATTAGACAAAGACAATTAAGGAAGACATATTTCCACATTTCCACATTTCCACACTTCCAGAGTTATTAGACAAAGACAATGAAGACATATTTCCACACTTCCACACTTCCAGAGTTATTAGATGAATTAAGACAATGAAGACATATTTCCACATTTCCACATTTCCACACTTCCACACTTCCACACTTCCAGAGTTATTAGACAAAGACAATTAAGGAAGACATATTTCCACATTTCCACATTTCCACACTTCCACACTTCCAGAGTTATTAGATAACTTAAGACAATGAGGACATACTTCCACATTTCCACATTTCCACATTTCCACACTTCCAAAGTTAGCAACTAAAAGTACTCGATTCTACCGTGACAAGACGTTGTAGTGCGTTCATGTCAATGCATAAGTTTGTCTCTATTAAGACTACCCGGTTGCATACATTTGTCATAAATTAACGATAATGTTTCACTTTTGCCCATTCCATTCTGATGACGCGTTCTGTGCTCTTCTACCCGAAGTAAAAGCCGTCATTCCAGTCATCCTTAGTCATCCCAGTCAACACTAGTCATCCCTAGTCATCCCAGTCATCACTAGTCATTCGAGTCATCCCAGTAATCCATAGTCGTCCCAGTTATCCTATTTATCTCTGGTCATCCCTAGTCATCCCAGTCATCCTAGTCATCCCAAGTCATCCCAATAATCCCTAGTTTTCCTAGTCAACTTTAGTCATTCGTAATCATCCCAGTCATCCTAGTCATCCCTAGTCATTCCAGTCATCCCTAGTCATCTTAGCCATCCTACTCATCCCTAGTCATCCCAGGCATCCCTAGTCATCCCTTGTCATCCAAACTCGTCCTTAGTCATTCCTAGTCATCCCAGTTATTCCCAGTCATCCTAGTCATCCCTAGTCAATCCAGTCATTCCTAGTCATCCGTTGTCATCCCTAGTCATCCCTAGTCGTCCCAGTCATCCCTAGTAATCCGAGTGATCTGGGTCATTGCAGTCATCCCTAGTCATCCCTAGTAATCCTTAAACATCCCTAGTCATTGCTAGTCATCTCAGTCATCCCTAGTCATACCTAGTCATCCCATTCATCCCTAGTCATCCGAGTTATCCCTAGTCATCCCAAGTCATCCCAGTCATCCCTGGTCATCCCTAGTCATCCCCAGTAATCCCTAGTCATCCCAGTCATCCTAGTCATCCCAGTCATCCTTAGTCATCCGTAGTCATTGCTAGTCATATCTAGCAATCCGAGTCATTCATATTCATCCCTAGTCATCCCCAGTCATTTCTAGTAATCCCAGGCATCCCTAATCATCCCCAGTCATTCCAGTCGTCCCTAGTCATCCCTAGTAATCCCAGTCATCCCTTGTCATCCCTAGTCATCCCTTGTAAGACCAGTCATCCCTAGTCATTCCTAGTCATCGTAGTCATCCTAGTCATCCCCAATCATTCCAGTCATTTGTAGTCTTTCCTAGTCATCCCAGTCATCCCTAGTCATTCCAGTCATCCCTAGTCATCCTTACACATCCCAGTCATCCCAAGTCATCCCAAGCATCCCAAGTCATCCCTCGTCATCCCAAGTCATCTCTAGTCATTCCTAGTCATCCCAGTCATCCTTAGTCATCCTAGT